AATAATAATAATAATAATAATAATAATAATAATAATAATAATAATAAGATAAGAAATAACAAGTCAAAGAAATCCGAACTTAACTACCCACGGATCTAAGTAACCAAAATCTCACATAAACAAACTATTTGGTTATCCGAAGGTCGAGGTCGTACCTTTTGGACCAGGAAGTCCATGTGGCCCTGGATTTCCAGGTGAGCCCGGTAAACCTCTGTCGCCTTTCTCGCCGGTGTACCCAACAAGACCTTCCAAACCTCGGTCTCCCTTCTCTCCAGGATAGCCACGTTGTCCAGGGATTCCTGGTTCACCTTTGTCGCCTTTCACCTGAATCGTTGGCCCGGGTGGTCCACGGTCACCTTTCTCTCCGGATGCTCCAACGATACCAGGCAGTCCAACGGCGCCTGTGAACAGCGACGAATATTTCCATAAGTACGTTCCTTTTCTAAGACGCATGTACAGTCAGTCCCACAAGTGTTCGTATTCTCTATGTCTATCGAAATTATTTACCTAAATTAAATGACAGATTTGATGTTTTCAAATAAACGATCCATTGTAGATGTGTACGTGAACAGGGTTTACATATGAACATATTTATAATAAAAATTTATTTGGAAACATTAAACTTGACATCCAATTTAGACGAATTTCTTGAATAGATATAGATGATACGAATATTTATGGGACTGACTATTATACAGGGTGTCCCGAAACGGAATCATGTCCTGTTTGATAAACCCTTTGACTAAATAATTGTTTTCCGCCGTGTCGCGCTCGTCCATCCTCGACACTTTTTTAATTCTCACCTGGAAGACCACGGTCTCCTTTGACACCGTTGATTCCAGGATATCCTGGAGATCCCTTTTCGCCATCCAAACCAGGGAAACCGCGAGGCCCTCCTGGCCCAATTTCACCGGGTTCGCCAGGTAAGCCGTCGATTCCAGGTGTACCTGGTTCACCTGGCGCGCCTGGCGGTCCCTATCGCAATCAACGGAAGTTAGAAATCGGACCGTCGTAGAAATCGAATTCTCGCGAATCCGTAATCACTCCGAACGAACTTACTATGTCTCCTTTGAGTCCGCTGAACCCTCTCACTCCCGCGTCACCCTTTTGCCCTTGGAATCCTGGCAAACCGTCCCTACCTGGCTGACCAGGTTCGCCCTTAGCTCCAGGTTGTCCGTCCCGGCCGATACCGGGCGATCCGGGTTCTCCTTTCAGACCATCGAAGCCATCTCTGCCCCGAGGACCAGGAGGACCACGGACGCCCGGTATTCCTGGCTCACCTTTCTGTCCTTTCTCCGATACCAGACCTGCGTTTCCCTTGGGCCCCTAATGGAGTTACGAAAAAACCCTGGTGAACATCCTGATGAATTATAATTTCCTAAATCGACCCTCTGTCTTTACTCTTTCGTCGGCGTAATTCGTTAAACTCGCTAATAAATATTTATGGTGTACCGACTAACACTCTCGAAAATTTCTACCGTGACTAAATTTTATTTACAGACTATCGGAAGCTACATAATCGAACATTTATTCCGGTATCTAGTTTTGTAATTTCACTGAAATCCAAGAATATTTTCTTCGACACTTAATTCTCGAAGCTAATTTCTTTACTTCTTCGGCGAAAATAACTGTCAGCCATATATAGGCGACGTGACGATCAACGTGTTATACGAATTTTCGAGAGTATTTATATAAACGAAGAACACTCGTGTCAGACTGGGGAACAGATGAAAATGTGTATACAGTAAAGGCTGGATAAGTGGAAGAAAATCGGGACCCAAACATTGCAGTTATCCAGTCGAGGTTTCTATTCTGTGCTTACATTTGGCTCGCGTCCAGCATGGAATGTAAAAAGGACAGAGAGTGAAAGAGAAAGAGGTTCTACAGTCGGCAGAATCGTTTCAATCGGTTAGGATCATATTATACTGCTCGCTCACTCAAGATGGAAGCAACTAAGTGGTGGGGATAGTCACGTTGCATTTATCCAGTAAATCCTGTCTCGCACTTATCCGGTCTTTACTGTATATCGAAAAGCTTTCGACTCGTGAGATTAATTGAGATGCAGAGGCACTTACAGGCAATCCTGGAGGGCCTCGATCGCCTTTAGGTCCGTCGAATCCAGGAAGGCCTGTCGATCCAGGTGGTCCAGGGAGACCTTCGTCTCCTTTCGGTCCAGGTGCACCAGGGCGTCCTGGTTTACCTTCCATTCCAACCAATCCAGGGAAACCTGGAGAACCTTTCTCGCCTCGTTCTCCCTTCAAACCAGGTAAACCCTCCACGCCATGTCTACCTGGTGCACCGGGCGGGCCTCGTCTTCCAGGATAGCCCTTCGGCCCGTCGATTCCTATCTCGCCGGACGAACCCTTCTGGCCTGGGAACCCTGGAAGGCCTGGCCTACCAGGCTCACCCGGCAATCCTGGTTCACCTATTGCCACAATTTTGCGTTTTTATTCTCGTCTCAAACAAGAAACCATACTTTTGCATACTTCCAGAAATTTATACGAACGCAAACGTAAACGTTCGTTCGTTAAAAATCTGAAATCTTGGAAAGTTCTTCACCGACTGCTTTGAAATTGAAAGGGAACCCAAGTAAAGGGCTACTTTGTGATGAATGAATAAATTATGTACAATGCATTTGGTACTTTAAGTTAATCTATACTTATCGAAATAGAGTAATAATATTTGAATTCATCGACAGGGTTTGAAAATAACGAGATAGATGATATTCTTAATTACGTTCGTCTTTCATCACATACGTAAAATTAACGATACCTTTCATTCCATCCATGCCATGAGTTCCTGCTACGCCAGGAGGACCCGGAGGTCCCATCAAGCCAGTGTCTCCTTTCTCACCAGGCCCACCAGGGAGCCCGCTTATTCCCGGCTCTCCAGAGTCACCCTTTTCTCCCATGAATCCTTGCAGACCCGGGAAACCGACCGGTCCGTCCTTTCCTGGTGGTCCTGGAAGTCCTCTCTCGCCTTTTGGACCTTGAGGTCCAGGCAAACCGCGACTACCCTTCACCGATATTCCAGGCTCTCCCTTCTCTCCCTTCGGGGATGGCGCACCGGGAAATCCTCTGGGTCCATCGCGACCGGGCTCTCCAGGGAAACCCATGGGTCCCATGTTACCCTTGTCGCCACGGGGACCAGGCAATCCTCGAGGCCCGACTGGACCTGGAGCGCCGATTGGTCCTGGAGGACCAGGCGGACCCTGATTCGATCGAAACGGATGAAGTATTTGTCGTGCAATAATTAGGTTCGAAGCACACGATTCGAGAGGAAAATCAGACTCGAGGAGAAAATTGTACAACAATTTACTAAAGCGTTTCGACGTATCTCTACATTCGCTTATTAGAGCTGGCAGCATCGCCGACCAGTCAGTATCATAAATATTCGTACCTTCTACGTCTATTCAAGAAATCTGTCTAAATTGAATGATAGGTTTGATATTTTCAAATAAATAATTCATTATAGATACATACAAGTGTAAAGTTCGTCTATGTAGATTTCTTTAGTATACATAGAAGGTACGAATATTTATGGGACTGACTGTGGAACCGAGAACAAAATATTCAAACAGAAGGTAGGGACGACAGACTCGATTCTGTATGCTTACCGCAAATCCTTGCAAGCCCTTTTCACCCTTAAATCCATCCCTGCCCGGTGGTCCAGGCGCTCCTCTTTCGCCCGAAGGTCCTCTGTCACCTTTGAAGCCCTCGGTAATGTTTAACGGGGGACACAAGCCTATTCGAAACAAGAGCAATGATATGTTTAACGCGTATCTATCGAGATGTTGTCTATCGAGACAGCGTGCCGATTTCGATATTTAATTACCAGGTTCGCCTTTGGCGCCGTCGAAGCCAGATTCGCCCTTCTGACCCCGTTGACCTGGTAGTCCAGGTTCTCCTTGCTCTCCTTTCACGCTCATACCACTCTCTCCCTTTCGTCCAGGCGTACCTGGCCTTCCAGGGATGCCATCTTGCCCGGGGAAACCGCGATCTCCCTGGAAATATCAATCGGGAAGTTGAGGAAATTGTAAATAACTTAGCGAAGGTGAAATTAACACCGTGTAATATTTTTGACTTATTTTTAAAATAACTGAAGGTATAGAGATATAGTAACTTGGATATATATATATAAGGAGATATAGTAGCTTCCGACATATACGTATACGTTTATTTTTCAAGCTGCTTTAAATTCTATAAATTACAACATAGGACCAACCATTCCCACTAGGAGTAACGCTAAACCTTCCACGATCAAATGATCGCTTACAAACTTTTGTATACATTTCTTATGCATTTAGCATCGCATGAAATATATTTCCATCCGATTGAGAAACGTGTCTTTAATGGATGGTATTAAAAGGTGTCGCGTTGTTACTTACAGCAGTGCCCTTCATTCCAGGGAGACCTTGGACTCCCATGAGGCCCTTTTCGCCGGGAGGACCTTGCGGGCCTGGCGGTCCAGGCCTTCCAGGTTCACCTCGTATACCTTTGTCGCCCTTTTGCGTTTTGAGCATGTTCTCTGTAATCAGTGCTGGCGCACCAGGTTGTCCTTGAGGACCTGGCGTACCCGGAATACCATCCTTGCCCTATTAACAGGAGTATCCAAATGTTTTTGTACGAAAGGACTAAATATTTTTAAAAAATCTAATGTTTATATAATTATTTTGGCAGATAGAATGCATTAAATTTAGTATTTAATTATATATTATATAATAGGTAAATATATATATTCATTAATAAATTATTTTCATATAAATTTTATTCTTTTTATATTATTATTATTAATCATATTAGTGAGAGTTGCTTTAACATTATTTGAACGTAAAATTTTAGGGTATATTCAAGATCGAAAAGGTCCAAATAAATGAAGAATTAATTAAATTATTACTACTGTTTCAGTTTACGACCTCACAAGATCCCTACCAGCGACTATACATACCGGTAGGCCTGGGGGTCCAATAGATCCAGGTAGTCCATCGGAACCAGGTTCGCCGGGATATCCTCGCTCTCCCGGCGGTCCTCTCGGTCCTGTTATTCCAGGAATACCATCCAAACCGCGATCACCCTTCAGCCCGCGCAATCCTGGCAAACAGTTCTGGCAACGTCCTCCTATCTCTCCTTTCTCGCCAGGCTGCCCTGGAACTCCCGGAAGACCGTCTCTCCCGGGAGTTCCTGGTTCTCCTGGCAAGCCAGACGCTCCCGGCGATCCTGGAATCCCGTCCAAGGAATCGCCTGGGAATCCTCGCGGGCCGGAGTAACCGCGTTCACCTTTCTGGCCCTTCTCTCCGTCTTGACCAGGCGATCCGTCCATTCCTTTAGGGCCCTATGTCGATCATCGTCTTACAGTGTTTATATTCTACCGATTATTCGTCGTTTTCGATAGCGTGTCAGGAGTGTACTCACAACGATCGATAATCCTTTGTCGCCGGGGAGACCTCGCGGACCTGAGGGACCGGGAGGGCCATCGTAACCACGTGGCCCTGTGGTCCCTGGGAATCCAGTGATCCCAGGCTCTCCTTTCGATCCTTTCTCTCCTGGTAAACCTTCAGGGCCAGGGATACCTTGAGAGCCAGGACCTCCCGCCGGACCCATAGGTCCTCTGGGTCCCGGATCACCTGGATATCCGTCGGAACCTCGTGGTCCAATGGGACCAGGGAACCCTTGCGGTCCCTTTGGTCCTGGTGGCCCAGGTGTACCTTTACCGCCCTGAAAATACGATCGTGTTCAAGGATCGCGAATACTTTTCTTTACTTTAACGCTAGGTTCGCGGAGATTCCACATTTGAAGGTTCTATTACCGAAGAAATCGTTTTATAGACGATGTAGAATTATCGAAATTAATTAGAAGCCTTAGACAACAACGAAGGACATAGAATCTATCGAAGGAGTTTGAAGAAATTAAATTGCAACAGAGACTCCTGCATCCGTGTCCCTGTTATCCGAAACCCCTGATATACGGACGTTCTATTATCCGTATGTTCTATTATCCGCACAACGTGCCTTCTCATGCCGAAGCATTCGAGTCGTTCGAAAAAGGTAAACGAAACGTAATTCTACGCAGCTGCTTACAATTAAAAATTCATGACTAATCAGCTAAAAAGTAACAGGATCCTTAGATGTTGGAAGAAACTCATTTTCGTTCATTTCTACTCGAATAAATGATATTTGATGTGAAAGAAAGTAATTGTTCTATTATTCGAAAATTCCATTATGTATTCGACATATGAAAAATTCCACTGCTGTATCGGTTTAATATTATCGAATAAATGCTTCCTATAAACGGTTCCCGTAAGACTTTCCGAAATTTGGAATGGATCGAAATGACCGGGCTCCGTAAAAACCTATTGGTAATTCATAAGTGATACGCACTCCTGGTGGTCCAGGAGGTCCTCGCAATCCTGAAACGCCCATGGGTCCATCTCGTCCTGGCTCTCCCTTCTTTCCAGGTCGTCCAGGAAGTCCATCCAGCCCGTCGTGACCTCTGTCACCTTTACGTCCGGGTGGTCCAGGAGGCCCAGAGAAACCGTCCCTACCCTAAATACGATAAAGGATCGTGTCGATCGATGTTACTTAAGAGGTACGATGTTACTAAGGGCCGCTCTAGAGGTTGAAAAAAAGGCCTAACTTCGATAATTAATTTCGAGAGTATCGCAAAAGGAATAGGATTTCTTTTAGCAGGGTTCATTTAACACATATCGAAGTATAAACAAAAATTATTGGATTATTATTTTAGTAGAAAATGGCAGCGACAAGGCGAGTCTCCAAAATTGACTTTTTTTTTTAAAACGCCTTCACGAGAGGACGGTTTTCTTGTTGCGTATAACGATTGGAATAAGAAACCAACAAATTTTATAATATATATACTGTTGACTATAGAATTACTAAGTTCTAGAGTGGTGTTACCCCTTAAAAATTTCAATAAATCGACAAACACAAGGAAAACTCACGCGAATTCCCGGAGATCCAGGCAATCCTTTTTCTCCTTTCGCCCCCAAACCTCCAGACATACCGTGATCTCCTTGCGGGCCAGGTTCACCTTTCGATCCGACGTACCCACGTTCACCCTGCACGCGAACAATTGATTAGTCGTTATTCTCAAGGAAATCTTCGAGCATTATTTTTATTTTTATTATGAGATCTTGGTGTGCTATTTTTATTATTAAGGTCGACGACATACCTTGTCTCCTTTTTCTCCGGGCTCGCCAGGTGCTCCCGTCACTTGAACCGTCCCTTCGAAGGGTATCTCTGGCGCGGGCGTGCCCGGCAATCCAAGTTCTCCCTTCTGACCTTTGTCACCTTTCAAACCCTCGAATCCAAGACCCATGTTACCCTTTTCTCCTTTCGAGCCTTGCGCTCCACGAGGGCCCTGAAGGGTAATTGCGTATTTTCTTCGATTAAAATCCGCTCCTTGTACGACGCGAAAATTAAACATTTATCGTAGACGAGCGATCGTGCGACGTTACTTACATAGGGTCCACGATCACCCTTCGGTCCAGGCAATCCACGTTGCCCTTGAGGTCCCGGTGGTCCTGGAGGTCCTCTCACGCCGTCGATGCCTGGCTCGCCTTTTTGACCGACAGGGTACGATCCAGCGAATGCCGATTGTCCTTTGTCTCCTTTGGGCCCAGGCGCACCTGGGAAACCACGGGGACCTGGTCCTCCGGGGACACCGCGGAGACCAGGCTCACCCTGGACGACCGACAAACTTCAATTTAATACGTTATTAAGACTATATGTTCATTGATTACTCTCAGTTGCACTTGAATAATTTTAGAATTTTTGTGAACGATAGGTACTCTATAACATTGTACAAAGTGTACAATCTACAACGATATAGTCTCGATCGTTTATTATATATTTGCCAACTGGCTAATTGTTAATAGCTATCTTCAAAATGGTTCAAAGTCTCCGATATACGATAAAAATAATCATCGATTGGTTACTACTGCATCCAATGGTATTTACTCTAATCCAACAATTTCTATCAGCCTCCAATCACCTACCTGATTTATTGCAACATTCCTACAAGTTAGCATAGAAAAGAAAATATAATTTCCTCGTTGAATTATTTATTCGTCTACGTTTTTTCCGAGAAGACACATTATTTGCGTACGTACATCTGTCCCGTTGCATCCATCTCGACCAGGAAGTCCCGGAGAACCTGCTTCACCTTGAACTCCGGGAACACCGTTTATACCAGGGAAGCCGGGCATACCCATTTTCCCCTGTAAGATAAAAGTATGATTAGAATGATTTCGAAAGACGATATATCGGTGGCTGTTATACTTACTCTGTCGCCTTTTGGTCCACGTGGACCTTGAGGACCGGGTTCACCTTTGTCACCTTTCGGGCCCAGAAGACCTTCCGATCCGGGAAATCCTCTTTGACCTTTTGGGCCCTGTATCCCCATCACACCTGGGGGACCCTGCGCCCGTACATTTCGTTTGAATTAACGTCATTATTCACCGACAATTTTAAACGGAAACCACTTTATATTAATTCGACGTGAAATTAAAACGATCCGAATAAAATCCAATAAAACTTTATTTATATTTTACCGACGTAACGAATTGAAATGAAATATTTTACAGGACGAGCGATATATTGAAAATAATGCAAGTGCACGAATTAACTGTGTCACTGACAAGGAAAGCTTTTTAGATGTCTGGCCACCGATTGTTTTGATTTTTTGATATGTTTCAAAGGACCGAGAAATAAGATGTACGTATTTCTTTCTATATTTTAAAATAAAGTTTTCTAAATTTCTCCTAAAGTCTCGGCTTCGATAGGCTATTATTATAAATAAATTATTTTTTACAAAATTTAGGACCAGATTTTATATTCAAATAGAAAACCATGAAACTTTTTCCTTGGTGGACATTAGTGGTCGAAAACAATTTACACAAGTGTTTTCAGAGGCTAATTATACAGAAAAATTGCAAGGAGTATCTGGTTTTGGTTTAGAATGGCCTGATACATGAAAAGTCGACGTTTGAAAAGTGTACGTGGACCGACGCTCACCCTAGATCCTTTCTCCGCGAAACATTTCGGCACGCAGCAATTGGAACCGGTGCAATTCTTCTGTTGTCCTGGAATCGGTACAGCCGAGTAGCTGCTCGGATAATTCTCCGAGTCTCCGGCGGCACCGTATCCTCCTTGGCCTTGGGAGTGACCCGAATAACCGGTCGATCCGCGGTTGTAGGGATCACTACGGTTATAGAGATCGCTGCGGTTGTAGGGATCACTGCGATTGTAGGGATCACCGGATCCACGATTTTCTCCGTAGCGATCGTCGTAAGGATTCGAGTCCTGGCTTGATCCTCTGTGGTAAGCGTCCCCGTAACCTCGAGGTCTACCGTAGGGATCGCTTCCTCCTTGGTTGTAAGGATCCAGAGAGCCTTGATCTTGTTCGCGACTGTAGGACCCTCTGCCTTCGCCTCCTTGATTGTACGGATCCACCGAACCTTGTTCTTGTCCACGGCTGTAGGACCCTCTGCCTTCGCCTCCTTGATGATAAGGATCCAAGGAGCCTTGCTCTTGGCCCTGATTGTAGAACCCTCGACCTTCGCCTCCTTAGTGCAGAGAGATTATTTAGTCGTGCCATTCAGGGAATCAACTATGATCGATACGATCGAGGTTTCTAAGATTCTACGCAACCCTTCGTGACGCGAGTTAACATATAACAGGATTTCCCAAATTTTCTCTTCGTATGGTTAGTTCGAACAGAGGCTCTTTAACACGTTCACTGCCAGACTAGTACTCTTAAAAATTTCTACTGTGATCAAACTTTGTTTACAGTCTATTGGAAACTGCGTAATGAAACATTTATTGTGGCATTTAGTTGTGTAACTTCGTCAAAGTTCGAGTATTTCATTTAAATTCACTTTCTGTGACACTTAACTTTCAGAATTAATTTTCGTACTTTTTCAGTGAAAAGCACTGTCACCCATATATGAGTGACGTGTGACGATCAACGTGTTAATGCGTTCACTGCTAGACTAACAGTCGTGAAAATTCCTACGAGCTTAAATGTTGTTTCTATACAATTAGAAAGAACGTGATCTAACGTATGTGGTTCTTATAGTTCTTATTTTTGCTACATCTTTAGAATTGACCAATCTTATCCAAATTAATTTTCAATGAAAATCCTTGTCACCCACATGTGGGGACTCTTAGGAATTCGTGAGTCTTGTACAGATTTATTTTCTGTGACACTTCATGAGCTTTTAGAATTTACAGGGAAAAGTCAGTCGTGCATGGGATACGTGTCTAATTAACTCCTAACTATGGCCACAGGTATGATTATCTTTAAGTATACTTGCTGGTAGAGATCTTGCGAGGTCGTAAAACCGGTCAGAAATCGAACTTTACAACTTAAGCCGACCGCAATTAGTAATCCGACACCTTTTTAGACAAGGATAGAGCTAGACTTTTCATTCAGAACCATACGATATCGGAATTAGGAGGTTCATATTTCAACAACTTTATTCTTCTTATGTGTCTTTGCACGTAATTCTGTAATGGATGAATCGATTACCATAAAACTTTTTCGTTTCAATCAATCATCGTCAAGAGTCTTTGGTTTTTCCAGTTTACTCGTAACAAAACATATTTGGACTCATCTTAAAGTCGCGACATCTCTGTCGTTCTAGAGATCAATTATTTGTGCCAATAAAGCAATACCTGCTGTTTCGGTTTACTTCCACGATTTATTACATTTTTCTCAACGCGGAAACAACGTCTCCGAAATGACTCGAAACGAGAAGTATTCTAGCTCGTCAAATATCAGTTTTCCATCGGCCCGTTACATTTTATGGAATACCATAAACTTGCGCGCGCGCATAACTGGTGGTGTTATCGATTAATAGGAAACTATTACACAACACAGCGATGGCAAAAGATCGCGTTAATTAGCAGTCCGAAGTTCAATCGGTGAATCTCGGAAGAATTACTGTTCAAAAATGGGAATACCTCCGTCTTCCCTTGACGATATTCCCTTGACACCATTTTATAGCGACCCACCTGGATAACGAATAAGTACGTTCGTTCAACGCTTCGGTGCCATTTTACACAGTTGATTTCCAAATATTTATTCGAGGAATTTTCTAAGTCTTCGTTTTTACGAGTCGAACGAAAGGAGAATTATTCTCGGAGCCTTCGTTAAAACGTTGCGTGGAATACGAATATTTGCGAGACTGTTAAACACGGACCTTGAATATTTTATGTATCCATTTTCTACTAAGCTGAATTAATCCGTACATATTGCAATGACTGTTTAATACAATATTAATTACCATAACGGTCCTGTTGTCCTCCAGGTTGGCGGCCGTATACGTCGTCATCCTCGTCGCCGTAGCCGTCGTCGTTGTCGTAGCCATACTGAGCTATGTTAGCTCTAGCTTGATCCTCCGTAAGACCTGAAAATTAAACGAAACTCGCGTTAAAATATAGATCGCGTTCGAGGGATACCAAAGTAAACTCGCCGAGCGTTAGAGAAAGATTTTTCGGAAAGATTTACCTTCGTTTCTCCTAAGATAATCCCTGAATCGTGGCGAAATGTTGTAGTCGTCATCGGCACCGCTAGGTTTACCGATATCACCTCGTCCGCCGAGTGGTACAACTGGCTGCGGATTCGTCCATTGTGTGTGATTATATTGCTGAAACGAAAAAAAAAAACACGAAATAGCGCGTTATAATAGATCGTAAAAATAAAACATTAAATTACGACTGTACAAGATCATCGCGATCTACTTGATCGGTAACCGGTGTGGAAGCGCGAGCGCAATGTATCGACCGAGATCTAGATCATCGATGCGCGGCGCACGCGGGAGATCTACGCTCTGTTTTACCGGCTGTGTGTATCGATCACGAACAAGAAACGTCGAGTTCGATATGAAGTGATACAAATCGTTTGGAAATGTCATTAAATATATTTGTACGAAGATAATCGAATGCTACATACGCAGGCGGTAAATTAATTTAAATGTGTGGAAATTCATTCAGCACTTTATTTACCGGGAGCCTATTTATAGGTTTTTGTAATTCCGGTATTTAGCTTTTCGAATTTATTTGCTATGTTGATGGTTCTTTACTTGCAATGTTCAGTTTTTGGAAACGGTATAGAGGAATTATTGTCAGTCTAGATTTGCACGATAGTGTTGTAGAAAATTCTTCTTTGAATTAAAGACTGTTTCTAAATAGCCCGACGGGTAAGGTGTTAATACCCAATTTTGCTTAAAAGAAAACAACACGAACAGAAGACAGATTGTTGACGTATTTATATTACTATGTAAGTACTATTATAAATATCGCACGAGAAGAACAGACAAAGATAGAATGTTTTACCGAACGCCACTTTGTACTCGAAACGAAAGCCACGTTTGTCACATACGTTGTAACAAAAGAGCATACCTAAGCACATGTATCAAATGCATGGATACAGAGATTAAAAGCGTTTTCAAATGGATCTTCTTACTCAGTAATGCTTCCAAGGTAGCGTCAACTGTCGATAAGTTATCAGCAATGCTTCTTCTATGGTAGAACACGTCTTATCTTTAATTTAAAAAGTTACTATGTACATCACGATTAGAAAGAATCGTTTCAGTATACAGAAATCTTTTTTAATATCTCGCTTCTTACGATTCTAAGAAATACTCCACGAGTCATAAACTAATCGACCAGTGCGATCCATTTTGCCATTCGTCTCGATTACGGCTTTTCGACCACGATTCAGAAATCATGCATCGAGTCCCGTCGTGCAAAGATCACGTGGCACACGCGATCCCATAATCGAACGAGTCGGATCCTCTCTATATTCATAGAATCTCTTTAAATTCACAGACCAATTGCTACCTCCGTCTCTGGTCTAGCCCTTATTTCACGTCCGGCGACCACAATATACAGATTGGCTCGATTCAACCGATGCGTCATCGCGTTCGCAGAAAGTCATTGTCTTGCCCTCGTTTTCACGTTTTATCCTTTTTACGTTTCGGGATGGCACGCACTGACAGGAAGCGCGGGGAGATAGCCGCCTCGTTATCGTTTCGAAACGATGCGACGCACTCCGTTTCTCTTTGATTCCCCTAAGCTTCGGGCACGATTCGTGATACGAGTAGGCGACCGTTTCTTCCCGAAAACGCCGAACGAAAGCACCGGCTTTCGTCGAAACGGAAGATGATCGCGTCACGGAAACTCGTCTCTCGATAGATCGAGAGATCTAAATCTTCGAGAAACAACAAAGAGTGAACCGAGAAGAAATTAGGAGGTTCGGAAGAGAGCTGGCTCTTTTACTTTTTCTATCTTCCATACTCGAGATTCCTGGAGAAACTTCGAAGATTTCGAAAAATTCCCTCGACAGCGAATCAACGGAATTTCGCGAATTCATTTTTGCGCGCGATCGGCCACTGCGATGGACTTCCGAAATCGAAGAGCGATACTTTTTCAGTCGTCGTTTAATTGGCCGACGACCCCGCGACACCGTGAATCGAACGTCGATTAATGTTTCGATTATAGTACGTTTCCAATTTATTTTCTCCGCGAATGGGATAAATTTATCGCGTCGGCCGTATCTTGGAAATAATGTTACGGCCAGCGGATCGTTTCGGTTTTAATAATAATGCCAAGAGCCGCGGAATCCCGTTCGGTCGTTATCTTTTGTTATTAATAACCGGGGTGCACGCGTGATGTAACGATCGATTATTGCTCGATATTTGCGCGTTACGCGGCTCAGCTTTTTTGCAAGTTTTCACCGTGAATTCTCGAAACTCGCTGATAATACGATAATTCGCGGCGACCTCGACGACGAGTTAAATGCGAAACAGATTTACTGACATCACTGCTGAAAATATGTACGGGATTACACTTCCTTAATTCACCGAGGCTGAGACGAGATCCTCGCGCGTACGTTGCTACGCGTTGCAGTGGAAAAGACCGTCTAATTTCGCGCACTCTCGCACGATACAATTAAATTCTTCTTGCGCTTCTCAACAAATAAAATCGTAATAGTAAAAACGAGAATTCAAGGGGTCGTACATTTTTCAACCGTCGACTTATCGAGATTCTAGGCCGCTATGGATACGGGATCAGCGTTGAGGCAGCGATCGTTGACGTGCTTATTTCCGAACAATGAGTAGTGAACATTATGGAGTTACTATAGCGTGTCGTATATATTCGAACCTACGATCCATTGTTTATCCTAGTTAAAAACGTACTATTAACCCTTCGCGTTCGATTCTTCTATAGAATCAAATGCAGTCTATTTTTATAATAAATAAAGATTTTATTTTGCCTAAAAAAATAAAGATTTTATTTTGCCTAAAGGTCCGCGGTCTACTTACGACTGTCAGTCGCCAATGAAAACAGTATTAACGTTAAAACAATATCGTACAAAAACCCCTCGCATCTAAAACTATAGACAATATTCCACTATTCAAAGAGCTACGGACAATCCTCTTCAACAATCATCTTCTTCGCTAGCTAGGCCTACGATCCGCGACGTTCAAACTACGGCAATTTCGTTCAACGAAGCCAGCCTAATTTTCTTATTTCAGATAGGGGGATATCTTTTCGTGATGGTTCAAGAATTGTCACTTTTATCTCGCGCGGTCTGCCGCCTTCGTGGACTCGCGGTTACGTAATCGGCCGCCTAGCGGCAATTCGGATCTCGTACGATCCTTCCGTCGATTCCCTGGTCCCCCTATCCAATCTTCTTCGACTTCCCTCGACCCCCCTCGAGTCCTTCTTCGTCCTTTTTTTCAACGTCGTTCGCCAGTCGGATCGCTGCTCCTTTTTTCCACGGACCGCCGTCACAATCGGGTCCGAGCGGCGGGATTTTAACGAGCGACGTTAACTTCCAGGCCACGCTAATTCGTTGCCCTGGCGATTTTTACAATCTCGTCCGACCTGTATTCACGAAACCGCACACGTGACCCGAAAAAGAATCGCGATGGCCGCTTCGCGAACGTTTAGGAGATTAGTAGAGTTAAGAATCTTAGGTATCCCTCCGAGGTTTTATTTATTCGCGAAGTTATTCAGAAAGTTAACGAAATGTCAATCCGTTGTCTTACGGTGTATTCGAGATAATATAAATATTGAAAGAGCGCCAAAGGGAAGCACGGAGTCCTTACAGAAAAAATTCATGTGTCTTTCGTTGGCTAGCAACGAAAAATAATCGTACATGTGCCCGTTCGTTGCTCGAATCGATGAACTCCGTAAATAAAAGTCGAGAAATGCAACGAAATAATGTACATTGGCCTTTAAAATAAATTATTTATCATTTAATGGCCAACGAATGTCGTTCAACGGTGTTAATCGTTGTTATTCAGGAATGATATTATAAATATAAGTGCTTCGGCACTTGAATTTAAGATTTTTCGAAAAGTGAAATTAATCGATTCGTGGAGTGAACGGTTCGTATGTCGATCAAGTAATAAATAGTCGAAGCGTGAGGAAGGAACGCTGATCTCTAAAAGCTGAGCTTTTATATATAAAAATTAATGTCAGTGTAAAGATGACATCTCGCGATTTGCAATTTCGATTCGGAAGCGACGTGATTTATTTACGAAGGAATGCGTTCGTCAGCGTTGCTCGACAATCGACTTGTCGGCGATCATCGTTGTACCATTAATACCGCTTCCCTATAAACCCGTTCCTCTGACTTAATACTTTCGCTACGATACGAGTCACTCCCGTCCCGCGAAACGATTTTTCACATTTCACGCGTCATCGAGCGTATACAAGGTGCGAATAAAATACGGGCGCAGGCTCCACGCCGCGGGACGAACAAAATACTCGGAGGGATCCGAATATCTTTATTCGCTTCTATTTTCATGTCTGGATTATCAACGCGGATCTTAATCGCGAAGGAAGACGAAAGTTAAAATAAATTTTTGGAATAGTCGACCCGCGTGAAACTGCGAAAAGGTGAAATACAGAACGCGGTACGAAAGATACGAAAGAAAGAATCGTAACGATAATTGAACGAGAAAAATACTCCGTGCATAACGCAGACAGATACGAAGTTATCGGTATGGAAAAGAGGGGGCTAGTTACTAAATGCAACGTGTACGCAGAGTGATTTCAGAAAGTGGGACAGCTCGTATCTCCGTGGAAGAGAAAAATGCTACAGGAAAAGGTTGTATGGTTTAAGATCTAACTTCCCATGGTCTCGCTTCTCTGTAACTGCAACGATGCGCCAGGAACTTCCATATTTCAGAATGTTAAAGAAAAAACAGAATTAAGACGAGCGGAGCTACTTCTGACGAATCGATGCTTCCCATTTTTCTGCCTGTCGGAATATCAACTGCATTGTAAAGGGAACGCGCCGTAAGATATTTGAAAATAAAACGTTTATCGAGATCAGACAGCTTCTCGGTGTTGCAACGCTGGAGCCCACCACCTGCAGTTCGCGCTCTCTCTTTCTCAAACGTGACATCAAACGTGTTTCACTTCCAAATATTCTGTCAGGTGTGTCTTAATACTTTCACGCGTGGGATGACGAGAAGAATCGATCCGCGGATTAAATGCACTATTCGTTCTAGAACTACAGAGTGCATCTCGCGAGTGCATCGATGCAGGTGTAACAAGGCGAGGATGCAACGCTCCACCTTCTAATTATTTCTACGTCTGCTAAAAGAAGACGTACGATCCAGCCTGTTTAGCGAATACTCTATCCCATAATATTTAATTACTAGATTGCGAATCTTTATGCAAAATAAAATCTTCCGTAGCTAGAATTAAACCTACACAGGATTTAATTTTACTATCCAAATATTATAATATAAACTTTACCTTCGATATTTTTTTATATTATTACATGCTGTATGGATTTTATAGTTTCTTGGACGTTCAAATTTCCTATAAATGCATAAAAATCCGCAGTCTGGGAATTACTGATAACAGATAGTATCCCATAGAACAAAGGCTATTGCTCGTAATTGACGAATTTCGGTGAATACGTTTCTCTAGTAATTTTCAAAAATCACAACGCAATACCACGATTTTCCAATTAACTAAATAAGTGTTATCGTATTCCCGGTTAACAGGTGGCGGAATAGCCAGAATGCAAACGACGACGATTAAGTACGCCAGACGGTGGCAATCAAGTCGAAGTCAATTCCGAACTATTTTCACTAGTGACTAAGCGTACTCGCGTGGCTGTACTATACGCACTATGAGCGCGTATGCGTGTACGTGGTGTAATAAAATTACAGTGCTCGCGGTTACGACGCCCGTAGGCGGACTGGTCGCTAACAGACGACTGCCCTATTTCGGATTTAACACCTTTTCGTTGTTCGCGACGACAAATCCGCCGGGACTCGATCCGTTATCGCGTCGACGATCGATCCTCGCGTTATCGACGATCCACGGACCGCAACGTCCGAAAAATAGTCGGCGATCGTCACGCGGCTTATCGAGGACGATCTTTCCGACCTTTCGTCAAAATCGCGGTGGGGAAATCTCTTTCCGCGGCAAATCGTAAAAATCGAAGGAAAACTTTCGGAGCGATTCGTCAAGTAATGATTCTTTATCTCAACACCTGGTTCTGATGTTTCCTTTCACCGTTTGCTTATGTTTTCGAGTAACGTACCGAGAAAAATAAATTCACAGACTAGAACTGAAGGTAAAGGGATCCTCGTAATACGGCAAGAGTTGATATTACAACGTGTGGATTTGTGCGTGGCTTTCAACTGTCTGGTCAGAGTAGAAGCTGACTTTGCACCATTCTGCGCTGACTTCGTGGGAAAAGAGTTGCTTCTACATCGCGTCTAAAAAAATGGTAAGTTGTACCCTGTATATACAAACAGATGTAGCTCGGGTCGGCGTCGACTCTCCTGTTTAATTATTTAAACAGTATCGTACTACTATCTAGGATATAGGTCTAGATAGTCCAATTGCCTGCTCTCATCACGCCACTCCTACATACCAACTCTCAAATCTCAGGAATCCAAGCTATTCCCCCAATTAACTAATTAGAATACGTGCCTACACTAATGAATCCTCTATCACTGACAAGCTTCCCAGGCTACGTTTAACTTACTCTCGTTTCCTATCGATTCTATTCGAATCTACTCCAACCCTTTGCACTTGAGAGACTCTCAGTCATCGCTAAGTTTCACGCAGCAAATCTACCAGCAAAAACGTTTCTTTAGATTCGATTTCTTTGAAATCTCAAATTAGTTTACGATAACGAATCAGGCTACGTCTTCGAAGTCAATCTAAACTTAGCATTCGTGGCGATAGTCACGGAAAAGAATCAGAAAAGAATCCTCGAGTGCAGAGGTTTAATCTCTTCAGTGCTCCGCGCGAGTATACTCGTGAAATTATTTTGTTCTCGTCGTGCTCGAGACGAGTTAAATCGCGCGAGCTTATCGTTAATGAGTTAACGAGTTAACTCAGAGCACCGAAAAAGGTTAACGACTGTAAATAATAGATCTCCCCCAATTCTACTCCAAAATCGGGCAAATTTACCCCTTTTCTTTCCCCGAGCGTACCCTATAACAAACCATCGAATTCCTATCGTTCCGATCCGATTCTAATCGCGAAGAAAGCCACGAATTCGTCAGACACTAACGTCCCCTTTCCTAAATCGTCAAAGACGATGGAAGTCCCACGCCCGGCGACGCGCGTCTCGTAACGCAGAAATAACGACGTTCCCGATGATCTAATCTCGCGGACGATCGACATGCTCGCGGGTTACGCTAGCCAGGAGGTCTGTCGGCCTTCGTTCGAGCTTCGTCGCCCTCGCAATTCCGCCGACTCTTGCGCGTCCGCACAATTGGAAACGGGAAGGCAGCACGCGCCGCCAATGATCGAAACGCGATCCTCTCGACTCTTTTTAGCTCGTCGACTGGTACTGCGCGTCGGTGCACGTGCATTCGCGTGAATCGATGAATGAACCTAGATCCTCGCGTGTCGTCGCGGTTCGACGATAAAAGGTGTTAAACGATGAATATCGTTACGGTTCAGGCGATCTTTCACCGGACTATTTTTCTCATCTGTTAAGTCCGGAAATGAATTCCTTTGTATTCGCGTAACCGGAGTTAATATGTACGTATGTTTGTATATTTGCGTACGTATTAAAGTAACAACGCGATCGAAAAGGAAACCTTTCGATTACGTCATGACCCGTCCTCGAACCGTACTTTGTCACAATCAACACCCCCGATAACTGCTCCATTTACGCGAAAACTGCGGCACGGTCGACTACTCGCGCAAATGTCGTTATAGAAATATACTCGGCAATTCGAAACCCGTTCCACGAGGGACAAACCGGACAGAGAATAATGGCGCGATACCAGAGGGCATTTTTCAAAAATCCGTACCATCGACGGGTTAAAGCGGCAACAAAGCTGTGCATACGTACCCCACTGACAATCCCGGCCAGGAAGACTGCGGATGCGACGAATCTGGAAGAAGAAAGAACAAACTAACGATGGCCGTGGACATGCTCCGATGTTCGTTAACGGATTATGGAAAGGACGAGAAAAATTAGGGATTCATCGAAAGATGAGATAGAATCGGAATATCCATCGAGATTTCTCTGCACTAGACATCAAAGATCACGAAGTTCCACGAAATAAACAAAGTTCGAGAGTTTCTCAACGTGCCAAGGATCACTTCGGCTCCAATCCCAGACGCTTCGCGATTCGAACCTAGACGAAGTCGACAGCTGCAAACCTCCTCGGTTATCGCGCCTCTGCAATATTCCCCCATTTTTATACTCGTCGTTCCAAGCAAAACCCCGTCGCCTTCTCGCGAATTTCTAGATTCACTGTGAACAGGAACGAAAGAGAAGGCGACCGCTAAACGTTTCTCCTTCAAAGGACGACCGACCGTATAAACACATTGCGTCCCCCGCCGTTCAAGTCCACTCGCCGTCGGAACGTTCCGGGGGTTGAAAGTGCCCCCTCCGTCTATCACGGAAACACTCGTGTCGCGTGCACCGATGTAGAACGGAAAAAGGGCAAAAGAGAAGAGGACGGCTGGGCAGAGATGGTTTACGCGACTCGTTCGAGGCGAAGCGTCGGGGACCACCGAGGAAACGCGGATCCGTCCGCTTCCGTGTCGCGTTGAGACGAAAGACGGGCACGCGCGAAAGATTGAAGCACGTGTCTACGCGATGCAGAGATCATCGACATAACGACAGGTTTGGCGGGCAGAGTTCGTTGCTCAGGATTCGACGAGGCAGCGTAACGGAGACACCGTATTTTTGTTCTCGGCTGAATCCGGTACGAAGCTACCGATCAAACAAAAACCGCGAACGAGACATATCGAGACGAACTGAGAGAACAATGACTATCGGATACACGTAAGAAAAATTAAACAGTTTGAGACACGTTGTCGTCGACCGAGAATGTACCGCGGAGTATGCAGTGCGGGTACTCGAAAGAAAGGGGAACTCCGGGGGGAGCAAAGGTGAAATTTCCTTGCCTCTGTACCCTTCGGTTCGTACGTGTCCTCGTCAACTCCAATGTCACTTCAACACCGATGTACGATACCGAGAAGGTAACGCGACAAAAAAAGCAAAAAAAAAAAGGACGAAGGAGCAGAAGGATAAAGCGAAAGATGAATATAAACTCACCGCAATCCCAACCGGGTCATTTCGACCTCCCTATTCCGCGACGGGTCTAGGGAGCCGACGAGCACAGGCTAGCACGAGCACCGCACGGACAGGCAGTCACAAAATATCGCGGGGAACCCGGCACCGAGTAGACGTGGTGTGCGGACCGTCCCATCCAGGGAGGGCTCTGAATGAACGTCGGGTGGAGGGAAGGAAGGTGGAGGCGGCCGCCGAGCCACGCCAGCTAGAATTCCTCCGCCGAAAGGATCGGGAGAGAGGCTTCTCGCTCCGGTTCCGCGAGAGCTGGTGAGCTCTCCACACTCTTGGTCCTGCCTCCCCCGCTTGTGTTGCCAGTACGCTGTCCGAGAATCGAACTCTCCAGCCTGCCTCCGCCAACTGCGGGACCAGAAGATACCAGTCGGCGCAGGGCGCAAGAAGGAAGGACAGACGGGAAAAACCGAAACCGCCGGAGGTAGGGAGGCAGGAAAGACGAAACCGGGAGCTGGGAGAGGGAAGTAAGAAGAGAAGAAGTAGACGAAGAGGTAGAAGAATAGGAGAGCGAGGAGGGAGGAGAGAGGAGAGAGGAGAGAGGAGAGAGGAGAGACCGGTGACCGGGTCGAGGCGAGCTCGGTCGCGCGTCGCACGAGAACTGTTGCGCGGCCTCAGCCGATGTCGATCGCGCCGTGGGCCTCCGTTCCGAGACCGAACCGAGCGCGTAAACCAGCGAGCAGAGCCGAGAGGGGAGCTGGCATCTACCCGCCGCGCCACGACGCGCAAGGATACAGCTTCGCCGAGAGGAGAAGAGCGCCTCCTCCGCCGCCGACTCAGGCCTGTCTGGCTGCGTGATCCAGCGACTGATCGGGAGGACGTGGCCAACCGGGCCGTCTGTCTGGCCCTTCGACACGCGCTGCGTCGACAGGCTGGCCGACCAGCCGCATCGCATCGTTTTCAATTCACCACGATCCAACAAGAACGCGGGATTCGACCGATTCCAACGACACCGAACGCACGCCGGAGGAGGCTGTTACGAGGGCTGCTCCGTTACCCAAGGTAGACACAGGTAAACCAGGGGGCACGGAACGAATCCTGCCGCCAGGAGGTGGCGTAGGGAGGAAGAGGAGCACCGACCCGGCACGATGCGGCCTAGAGCCGCTGACACGTCGACCGCAGCAGCCCGCAGGCTCCGTTCGTTCCCGGTCGTCCTGCGAGTCACCTGCGTCCTTGCCCTACTGGTCGTCACGTGGATACCGGTCACCGAGGCTGTGGTGAGTGACACCTTCTAATATGTACCAGTCGCGTACCGTTCGTTCGTTGATAAACAACCTGGAATAACGTCGTTAGTGCTCGACGAGCCGTTGACCTCCGCCCCATGTTTATTTTGAACCGCGTGTTCCACGGCCAGGTAGAAAAACTCGCGATACCGTCACACGTGGCTTACTCGTGTTTTTCTGTACCGGATTCCGTAGCGTGGGACAAACGGTTTAACCTTCCCCCGTTTCGAAACTTAATTCAAACAGTCTTCGGTTGTTCGTCGTTCCGCGTGGACGAACTGCGTCGATCTTCGACACTTCCCCCATTTCCAACCACGCAGAGCCGCGTTTTCGTCCAGGTTGTGCGCTGCCGATCGGAATCTTAGGCTAGAATAAACGCTGTACCTGTCGAGGTTGCTGAGAGAGTAACGTGAGTACCAATATATTATTATGGAAATTCGCGAGGACTATATCGGGGACGCGAACATGTTCGGGATATCCACTGTGCTACGATGTGTTCAGTCTCAGCTCGAGTGCTTCATTTCGCTTAAAATACGCCTCAAGGGAATAGTTGATTCATGGCTATATTAATAACCAAAAGATAATTTCCATCCGACTCTAACTCACCTTTCGATAACGAAGCTTTCTGGTCCTCCGTGGTAATACGCAATATTCTCGAAAATAATATGATACGTATTAGTTGGAATATGCAAGAATATAGAAAAGATTGAAAGTAAAGTTCGTGTTGTAACATCTGCAGAATAAAATAAATTCCTATTTAGGTTCAATTTTTGTAGGCACGTTCGCAAAGATTTTATTTTGCATATAGATCCGCAGTTTAATAGTAAGACAGAGATATTGGCTTGTCCAAAAGTTCGCACAGATTTTTATATTTATATTATATTTATTGAATTACATAGGTGCCATTTTGTCCCGTAATCTTTTCGCTTTTTAGGGGTTGTACACGTTTTATTTGCTTTCAACCATTCCGACACAGTCATTGTAATAATTATTCGTAAAGAAACCATTTATTTTAAATGGTTTGTTGTACGAATGCTTCTTACACCGACTTTACACTCAGACCCGTGCCACGAATCAAAAATTGACACGAACTTTCCGGACAAATCAATATTTTCGAAGACAAGCGACATCGCGAAGCTCGATAAAGTTTAATAAAAATGGACGAAACGTTGAGACCATATCGTTAAACAGTTGTACATGAACGATTCCCCAAAAGTACCTCGTTTAATATAACGCGAACTATGCGGAACCGTATCCAATGTTTCCTTCGATTTCTAAACAGCGAATAGTAAAACAGAAACTCCCAAAGCCCCCCTTCGGAGAACCGTTTATTTCCACGGAAAGACCGGCGTATTAATCTGGCAGGCAACGTGTTAATCGAAGTCGACTCGAGCCACTCATTCGGTTACGTAAGAAGTCGGAAGCCTGGGGATGGTGAAAAAGGGAGGGAGGGAGAAAACTATCCAACGGAGTTATCGCGAATTTTCGCGAGATTAAAGTTGGCACGCGAGAAGTTCTCGGGGCCAGCTTGGCAGGGTTTCCGGTCGATCGTCGAAACGACGTTATCGCGTTATCCATCGTAGGAGATGGACGGGATCTTGGCGTGTTTCGCGACTGGGTGATCTAGAAATCGATCGTTGGACGACAGACGAACGTGGGGGACGTTTTATGAACGTAGGTGAGGACAATTTGCCGAAAGACGACGCAACGTCGCATCTGGAGCGACCTAACGTCGTTCCAGCGCTTTTAGGAACGTAATGCGAATGGCAATTCCGCGGCTCGTGCCCACACGACGGTCGCGTGGGAACGCGCAGCGTTCGCCAGTGATCTACGATCAATTCCTCGATCAAGCCGCTAATAAACTGTCCGCCGGGACATTCGAAGTAGCTCGTTTACCGATACCGGTGGTCCTCGACGAGACGAATCGTTCGTTAATCTTTCGATTTTTCAATTCGTCATTGGAAAGATTTATCATTGCAAGAAATTTAATCTGTACACGGTTTTCTAAAAGGGGCTTTTGGATTTTCGTGATACGGTTTCAAACAATTTCTTATTTCCATCAAGGTCGTAATATGTCTATAAATAAACTAGTTTAGAACGATACCATTCTAATTTAATATTAAACTTATTATTAACGATTTACTTATGATTAGATTGTCATCGATCAGGCATTGCAAATTTGCACTCTAGATAGCACAAGTTTATCGATAACGGTTACATAAGTAATTAAAAAGAAAAACTCGTTGTGAATGTATTTATTCGAATTTAATAGTAATCATTACTCTTACGTATCACGATCTTTTGCTCGTAAAATTTCGGGCTGCAAGGGACCCGCAACTAGGTCGAGAACGTCGGGAGTTTCGCAAGTGGTCATTGGCTATAAACATGAGTTTGTTTTGTATTTAAATTTCGCTGGGCGGCGTGCAATGAGCGAGCTCAACGATCCTCGTCATAGTTAATAAGTAAACGCGCACGAATATGGGTCGTATTATCTTTCGCGTGTGCGTATTCGTTACGAGCTGTTTGCCGGAGCAGCATCTTTATTAACGCTTTCACGAAATCGCTGCAATAATCCAAGAATACTGCCCAGATTTCTTCGTTCTCGCTATACTCAGTTTCCAACTCGCAACTCGGTACAAAAATAAATTACACAACGTAACACGTACACCCTCGCTCGTAAATATATGAACACTTACTACATTCGATGAATAATTAACGTACAACGTAAATTATTACTGTACAACTTTTGTTGCTAGATTCTATATCGGATGTGCATTTAACAAAAATTAATAACATCAAATGTTTTGAGTCCCATATTGCCATAGAAAATTTCAGAAAGAATGTTCAACATATCAAACACATTCATGAGCGAAATATTATAAAATAAATGAGATAATATTACTTTGGATACAATGAACAAAATTAATAGTATCTCTATAGTTTTTATCATTACTAATGCGATGTTAGAAATAAAACTATTAATAAAATATATTCGCTAATGCAACATAAACATATCCAAAGATGAACGATATAATTGATACTAATGGATTCGCAACTTTTATTAGATATTTATTTCTATTAAGGAATCGTCCATATACTTCTGAGCGGCGGTGTATACATCAATCTTCAACTGATTTTAAACACTGCACCGTGAAAGAGACGCGAAATGAATCGATTAGTCCCGATAGCAATTTTAACTCTGACGACCGAATTACATCGGCGAAATAGCGGCGATCTACATTTATATCGTCGTGTTCAGTCGAGAGGAGATTAATTTGATGCGAATGAATCAACTTCATCCGATCGTTCTAAAAGTGGTCGTCGGGATAGTTATTCGGTTCGAACGACATCCGACAGATTCCCGCGGAAAAAAAGAAACGTCACCTCGAGGAACAAGGAAACGCGTACGTGTACGTTCGCCTCACGAAGCGTCTCCCTCACCTCCAGCAAACTTGCCGTGCGGCTCGCGCGTGATGTCACAAAACCGTTAAAAGCGTTTATCTTCCGAGCAGAGGTTATGAATAATGTACACCAGTGTATTTTTGCGGTTAGTCGGATATGTACGCAACAATGTAACCCGTTACGCAATCGATTCGTTACTCCCACCCCTTGGATAAATATTCGCGAATTTTTAACGCTCCATCCCTTCCCCTCGTATCTGGTTTCCTGAACGTTTCACGCACAACTTCCGAGGTCGCAGCGATGCGAATGTATTCCGTGCGTTATCTTTCAAATTTTTCTCGCCGATGACCGACCTCGGCTTTCCGTTGCTTGCTTTTAGAGTTTTATGCGCGCTAATTTATGGACCTCGCTTCTTAGAATCGACGCGAAGAAGGGCAAGAGGGTAACGAGAGCATCGGCGTCGAATGCGCGATTTATTTTTCCAAACTGCTGAATCGCGAAACGTGTTCGTTAAAATGAACATCGAAGCAAGTAGTTTCTCGATGAAATTTTCTGTACGTAAAACCGTGAATTACTATGGGGAAAAGAACGATGTTTGGCTACCGTTGCCGGTTACGTGCACTTTTGCGAACGGTTTCAGAGGTAATTGCACCCTTTATATTTAGATACCACGTCAGGGCACCCTGTGCATACGATCGTACTTCCGTTCGTCTGAGTAATTCTGTTCCTCTTAGTATACTCCTTTTCTTTTTTATTCTTCGGACTCGTTTGTACGGTTTCTTTTATAAAACGAACGCTGACGTGCATCAGGAAGTTTCATAAATTTATTAAGTAGTTTAAATCGATCCTCGCAATCGTTCGTACCGACGTGATTTTTAGAAACTTTGAAACTTGCTTTCGTACTCCGTCGCTGATTCAAGGAAAAATCATTGCATACAATCGAATCTGGACCATTGCTCGAACGCCTTGGCTCGCTATCGGTTACATCTTCCTATCTCGTTGAAGTCACCCGGTAAACAAGCGCGTAGGCGATTTCGACGCCCGAACGGACTGGCACATCCTTTTGCGGGAAACATGAAAGGAAAAGAACTCCCGTTGCGCATAGGGCGGAGGACAGTAGCAGGGATGGGAACGAAATATAAACGGTAGGTCAGAAGGTTTACACACCTTTTTTTCTCCGTTTAGACAGCCCGTTGTGCCAGTCGTTCGGTATCGTGAGAAATCGTTCGGTAGTCACGTTTCACTTTCTCGATACTTTAGGCGAAATAATGGATCGGCGTGACAATAAAAGTATACATAAATCTGTTAGACCAGAGAGGAAGTCATAGTGAGAGTGAAAGATTAAATTATGTCTTCACCTCGGAGGAAAACTGTGTCGAGTCCAAATTTGTTGAAAATTTTATGTGACTTTCGATATAATTAATATTAAGTTACATTAGTCCTGTTGAATAAATATAAATTTATCGACATGCCGTGTAGGAAAACACTTTTCAAATTACGTACTTTACAACGGACTTTATTTCTTTGTTATTCTTTTTGGTTCTCCGTATTCGGTATTCTTCTGTAGTCTTCTGAAGTCTTCTACGATCATA